GGGGAAGCGATCGAAAAAAAAAAAAAAAAAAAAACAGGGGATGGTTTGTCATTCGTTTATGTGTCACTCCTGATGAGTAGTGTTAAAGGGGGGGATAGTTGAGTTTCCTTGTATCGGCCCCTCCACCTGCACACAAACACACGCACTGTGAACTCGTTGAGTACCTAACAGAACCAACTTTGAATTAACAATCTTGTTGGAGTGGTAGTTTGGGCCCGCGTCATATTTGTCACTGCTATTTAAATTGGATAGGTAGTGTGCCATGCTGGCTATGCGGGGGTCTCAATTGGGGGGAAGGATGGGGGAGGGGTGGAGCAGCACTTTGCTGTCCTTGCGCTGATGGGGTGGCTGACTACTGCGTTGAGCTGTTTGTGGAATGGACAGCAGGGCACCGCAAAATGTATATGCAACGTGCAGCGGTATAATAGCTACGTATAACATGTTTGTTCTTCTTGCGGCACATGTCCATACAAGCAAGCGCGCCAACTTGGCAACGGCATGTGCAAGACGAAGTAGCTTCTTTTTGTTATGCTCCCTGTGTGCGGTGTGTTTATATGTCGTGGGCGTCCTCCCCCCCCCTTGTGAATGTGTGTAATTGCAGGACGGTTATACAATTTCGCAAAGTAAAGAGTTTTTCAAGGAGGGGAAAAAAAAAAAAAAAAATTCACCCTTTTCACCTGCTTTTGGAATAGTGTTATATCACAGGAATTAATCATTTACTTTGGTTTCTAATTCGCATTGCTGCTTAACTCGGAATTGTGCATAAGATTCGACTCACTTGTGACTACTCCCCACCACTTTCGTGTTTCCATGTGCGCATACACGCTTGAGCGTTAATATATTTTTCAATTCACGGAGCGCAATTTTTTTTTTGCATGTCACCCTCGGGAAGGGGAGCGTGGAAAGTTTGGCTAAATGCGTACGGTGAATTATTGGAAATGGATGGCCTATTTCTCCTCGTGAAATGTTTTTTTTTTTTTTTCTTTAGCATCACAATACAGGGGTTGCATTATATTGCAGGACCATATACATGCTCCACCGCTTGGCATACATGTACGGATCTGTTCGTTAAGTCAATTCCGTTTGCATGTTGCGTGGGTGACATGTATATTTTACACCTTTCCATTCGGGAAAAAAAAAAAAAAAAAAAAATACAGCCATTTTATATTTTGCTGTTCATGGGACACCCACAAGTGGGTAGTGGGTAGGAAAAAAAAAAATGTGCCATCTGTAAGTTAAGAGGTGTATTCGGCTTAAACCGGTGTGCATGTTCCAGTTTTCCCCTCCAAGTGAGCTGCACTTGTGTAAGTGCTTTCACCTCCTCACACGGTTATACCACTGTACAAAAAAGCTGCGCTTCGAACGGGTGGTGGTGGTGAGGGGTCTACCTGGCCATGCCAAAAGTGTTGCAGGCGCTGTTTAGGCGCGGACACAAAAAAATGGAGAAGCAAAAAAAAAATGAGACGTAAACAAATGGAGAAGCAAAACAAATGTTAGCATAAAATGGGGAGCAGTTCAAACGCATTTGGCGTGCTTCCACGCACACGTTTTTTTTTTTCACCCCCCCCCTGTCCCCCTTCAAGGGTGCACGCGGCCCTTGCCCTTGCGGTAGGACATTTTCTTCCGCTGCTTGACGACCTTGTGCTTAGCCTCCTCCACCATGAGGGTCTTCTTTAACTTGTTATGGTAAGACAATTTTGCCTTTTCCTTTTTCTTGTCCACAATATTTTTTTTAATGGTGTGTAGCATTTGGTACCATCGAGAAGCTAATTTTGGATTTTCCAATGCCCGGAAATTAATTTGATCTTCTTTCATTTCTTTTTTTTTCTTTAACTCTTCCTCATTGCTCATTTTGCTGAACAACTTGGGCTTCGATTTGTAAGGCAGTTCTTTTAGCAGCTTGGGATTTATATGTATTTTAGAATGGTAAAAATGACGAAAGGGGACACTCCTGTAGTTGCTCTTGTGGTTAACGTATATGTTGTAAATGTACCTTAACTCATTTATGGACCTTAGTTTATTTTCCACGTCATAAGTAAAGAATTTTTTTATTTTTACATTTACATACAATTTCAAAATTACAATATCACTGATACGAATTTTATCGGCGAAGGTACATCTGCAATTTCCATTTTCAGCCACTTTACTTTTTATTAATCCTTTAATCCCACTTGGAGTCACCACAGGACAATTAATAAATTTGCTTACTTCCAAATCTGAATTAAACATATTTTTTACAAATGCCGTATTCTTAAATATTTTATATGGTTCTCCAATCAGCTTCAACTTTTTCATTATTTTAACATTTGTGTTTGTTTCTAACGTCACTCCATTTAAGCAGACGCGGTAGTAAGGTACTTTGTTGTAGTTGCAGATGGCCAAAATACCATTGTTGGCTCCTGCCACTGGTCCATAAAAGGTACAATTACAATGCATGTGCTCCGTTGTGTATTTTAAAAATCTTATTCTTACATTATTTCTTTCGTTGATTGAATAAATGGGGATGCTCTGGTACCTCCTCCACCCTATGGAGATTATCAACGGGTCGTTTGACCTTAACACTTTTGGAAACCACCGATGCTTCTTTACACGACAATGAATCATGGACTCCTTCTCTTCATATGTCTGCAACCCTCCACATATTATAATGCCATTTTTCATCACTGCTAATTTTTTTTTTTCTATTTTGAACACCACTTTTATATACTCCCCGATGTTGACGCAAGATCCATAGGTGTTCTTGTTTAACACACCAATTCCCTCCGTCTCTTGGTACCTTTCCTTTTGTTGTTCCCTTTCTGCTTTTGCCTTTTTGAGCGAGGCCTTCCCCTCCCCTTCGTCCATCATCCCCGTGTCGCCCTCATCCCCAGCGTCATCCATCCTGTCACCCATCCTGTCATGCTTCTTAACGGAGTTATCGCCCGGCTCCTTTTCCTCATCCTCACTGACCATCCCCTCCTCTTCACCACTCCCTGTACCGTCGGTCGGACCAAAACACCCCTCGTAGAGGCTCCCATATCGCGAGAAGAAGTGGTCCGCCAGGGCCTCGTCCGCGACGTCACCCAGCGACACAGTTAAGTTGTTAAAGACGAACACCTCGTCTCTCATCCACTTGAAGGAGTCCACCTCGTCTAGGAAGTAGTTCGTCTCATGCATGTAACTGTACAATTGCTGTGTCTTCTCTTCCTTCACCGCCTCTGTACTCAGGAGACTATGGAAGTCTTGTTCCCCATGCAACCTCTTCTTCTCTCGCCGCATCACCACCAGGATGTCCCCCTTGAAGTACAGGTGGTTGTTCTTCCTGTGGATGTAGCGCGCGTCATAAATGAACGCGTCCAGTCTGGCCTTATTGTCGAACGCGAGCTGCTGCGCCACCTGGGGCTCCCCGTCGTTAGCGGACAGGTCGTCCTCCTCCTCGTCATCTTCGCCATTGATATTACCCTCCCCATCGTCTTCCTCCTCCTCGTCATCTTCGCCATTGATATTACCCTCCCCATCGTCATCCTGCTCTTCCTCATCTTGCCCATCATCATCCTCCTCGTTGTCTTCGTCCTCCTCCTCCTCGTCGTCTTCCTCCTCCTCTTCTTCTGCTGCGTCCTCTTCTTCTTCCCCCTCCTCGTCTTCTTCATCCTCCTCTTCATCATCTTCTTCGTCCACCTCATCACCATCATCACCATCTGCGTCGTCTTCCTCCCCGCTGGCCGAAACGGTCACCTCATGCGCATAGTGGTAGTCGTCCTCCGCGTCCCTCTTGCCAAACAAAATCGGCTCCAGTTCCGTGTACTCCTTAACCTTCTCGTTGACGTACTTGTCTGCCTGCTTCTTCTTCTTTTGTCGTTCGCTCACGTAAACGTTGGAGGGGGCCTTCCTCCGCTGGCCCTCCTTTTGGCCCTCCTTCTGGCTGTCAAACAGCAACGGCTCGTCCTCCGCGCCCGCATTATTGCAGAGCGCGTACTTGGACGTCTGCAGAGCCCGAATCATGCGTATGCCTTCCGTCATGTACCTCTCGTCGTCCCGCTTGGCAGAGGGATCCTCCCCCCCACGGGCACTTCCCTCACTACTTCCTCCATCACTTCGTTCGTCACTCCCCCCATCACTCTGTTCTCCCCCGCTTTGTTCCCCATTATTCCCTTGATCACCGACAAGGAGGGCCTCCCCCGGAGTGAAGTTCACCTTGCTTTTAGGTATATGTATAAACATATTATCAAAATCGAAGGCCACGTTACCCACATCAGCCATGGGGGCATACACATTTGCATTCTTCTTCTGTTCATCTGTGAGGAAAGGATCTTGAAGGATTTGAATATCCCGTATTTCCACATCGCCAATATTAGGAATGTGCATAACTTGACTTTTAAAAATTTTGGACCCATACACGAACCCTTCCACGTGAACACACACTTTCTCATCACAATTGGAGAAGAAGGAGTCAATTCGCTTGTCTTCTTCGGCTGCAACATCTCCCACTGCAACCTCTCCCACTGCATCCTCATCCACATCTAAGCGCAGCCCCAAAATATAACCGTGCTGTTCCCTCCACGAGATGTGTGGTCTCTTAATAGAAGAAACGAATTTACAAAAGTTACGAACCTCCGTTTTATTATATTTGCCATTTTGAATTCCACTGAAGAAAAATATTCTTGCACCCTCCGCCATCTCTTCTGTAAATCTTTTACTCAATTTTTTTTTTCTCTTCCGTATACTTTTGCTGTCCTTAAATTTGTCCAGGTGAGTAACCACCCCTATGACTTTAGGTAACCCATGGGTTTTTAAAATGCTCACAAATTCAAGGGTCTCCAATTCAAGTCCATAGCTCCCATCTATAACAAGCAGACACAGGTCTGCAATTTTAGCGACATCAATCATGCTTAGAATGTCATCGCTTACTTCTACGAAGGTGTACCTCTTCAACGCCTTGGTGATAATTGATACAGGTCCTTTCACTTCATTCATGGAAACTCCAACGTAGTGCTTAATGAGGCTTTTTAAAAGAGTGGTTTTACCCACCCCCTTGGGACCTTGTATAGCTACTATGAGTGGGCTACTCTTGCTGCACTCTTTAAAATTCTGTGGGGCTCTTAATTTTTTTTCTTCTAACTCGAATTGGTGCTGCTTTCTGCGGTGCGCACTCCGGATGCCTCCACTGAAGGCGAAGGCCTTATGAAATTTCTTCACTTCATTGTTCTTGCCGCCTCGATTTGCTCCCTTGCTTATTTTTTTCTTCTTGGCCTTTTTCCCCACCTTTTTTTTCTTGTGATGCTTGCGCTTGTCGTCCATGGTTTCGCTTCGCTCCGTCCTACTTCTCTTCTCTTGGCGTCCAATTAGATCGACCAATTTGTTACGCCTGCAGAGGGTAGTCCGTCCCCCCTCCCCCTTGTGACGTTTTTAAAAAAGCCGCCCCACGCAACACTTAAAAAAGTGGAGAAAAAAAAAACAGGACGATTTTTTTTTTTTTTTTGCATACATCTGCAGAGATCCCACTCACCGCTTGGATGATGAAGCTGCCATGTGAGAAGAAGTTTTCCTCCGGATGCATAAATTAGTCGCTGTTTTTTTTTTTTTTTTTTTTTTTTT